GAAGATTATCATGATTAACCAAAATTCAGCAGTACAGAAAACAAGTTTCTTACAACTACCACAAGAAATATTGTAGCAAATCATTGTCAGAGCAACTAAAACTAGCAATAAAAATCTACAATCAATCCGCTTGACTTAAGTATTACTAACATCTACAATATCAATTATTATATATTGCTATACACAATTCATATATATCTTATCTATCCAACTGCAGATGTAAATTTCTATATATACAATCCAACGCAAAACAAGTGCTGCATAAAAGAAACATATTCAAACAAAGACACAAGCTACTGGCAATTACAACAGAAGGACTTTCAATTTTACAAATCTTGGCAAATGCAAAAAATGAAGATGCTTTATTACTGCTTGGAACACATTTAGTATTTATCAACCATGATATTTACACAGGTATACCTATGCTGGGTGCAGCCTGCAAAAGACAAAATATGCAAGCACTATATATTTTTGTAGTTGCTTTGCTAAAAATATATGATAACAATAGTATACAACTTCTTCTCAAATTGGTACAACAACCAGATTCTTTTCAAAGGATGAGGAATTGCTGAGAGACTTTCAAATCCATGACTCCAACAGCAAACATTCTCCTCAAGCAAAGGATATTAGGAACTTGCAATAAAGAAGATGAATATGTTGTACACTAGGACAGAATAACAAAGGCCAAGTGATATCAGTTGCAAGAGATGCTCTGTAGATTATGAAATAGTATGTCTTAAATACAATATGTAATAAAAATGAGACATATATATTCACTCTAGAGTAATTCAATGATATGAGCGAAAATATTGTTTATACATGTTTTTCCCAGCACATATGTTATTGTATAGAATCACATATTACCAAACAATGTGTTTCATATTATTACGAACAATTGCCGAACAATGTTTTGTTCGCATTTTACACTGTTTCTGTACAATTACATGTTCATCTGTGTTTTTCCTAACGCATCTTTAACCAATATCGAAGGTTGGTAGTTTTAAAAGCCTCTTGACAAGCTGAATCATTCCATTCAATTACTTTCTCAAAACTATTCGTATTTATTTTGGCTTCTATAATCTTCTTGTATGGTATTGAGATGACTTCCTAGCAGAATATTTTCTTCTATATAGGAAGACTTGGAGGTTGAAGATTTGAGTTTCTGTGACCTATATTTGAATGATTGTTACTATTATTTACAACTACCATGTTATTTGTAGAACCGAGTTATCTGTTTAGTGAAACGATTCGCAACATACGCTATACATAAGAATACACATATTATATTTCTATTGTAATTGTATCAAAAAATAAAAAAAAATTATATGCAATAATAATAAAGTAGTCTAAATAGATTTAAAATTATTTATAATCATACCACATTCATATTAAATATACGGTTATTAGTTAATAAAATTGCAAATAAATTGAATAACTAAAATGGAAAAAATAACAATTGGACAAACAATATTGATTGTGAATATCTTTCACATGCTCATCTTAATTTGATTAAGTCATGATGATTCGCACATATTCAACACATATATTACATATTTTCCTGCATAAATAAACATAAATATAATCCGAATGATAAAATGTATTGTTGACTTCGGTGAAACTATATTACTGATAATCCAAAAGTTGAAATATTAAATATTCCAATTACATTGAACAAAATACGAACAGTTGCTTTAATTATATCATATCACTGACATATCATTAACAAATACCAGACAGAAGATGAACCATTGTCAACCCAAAAACTGAAAAACCAACAAAACACGATTCCAAATACAGTGTACAGAGAATGAACAATTGCTTTAAACATAACTTAACAGAAAATATTATTTAATGAACAGTTGCATGTTCGCATTATGTCCATTTATATTCTTTCTTTGTAAAACGCCATTCACTATTATTTATATGTATGTAAACATAACCAGTTCAACAACTCAAACATCCTCAAATCTCGAATCTCAATTCATTTGCTTATTGTTAACGAATGGTAGACAAGAAACCAACAATTGTCAATCCAGAAGCCAAAAAAGCAAGAGCAAGTGGTAAATAACATTGAAAAATATCTCTTATATTTCCCCAACAATTTCTCTAATATTTCTCCTATAAATCTACACTTACAAGTTTGTTTTCCATTCATACAGTTGAAACAACAATGTCAGACAAGCCTCTCGAACTGAAAGATATCCTACAAAACGTAAAAGCCAACTTGGAGAAACTGTCTGCTGCTAGAGAGAAGAACGGAGAAATGATGAATGGCTTATAAGAAATAACAGACTCAATCATGGATATAATCTCGGATCTGAATCAACGCCGATCTCTGATAATTGCAAAAGAAATAGCACTTGATATCCATGATGGAATAATCTGACACGATCTATGTACACATTATTATTATGAATAAAAGATATAGATAATTCACATTATATTGCTTTTTATGATTATAATAACAACACATACTAATATAAATACTTTTAAATCGATAATTAACATCATATAATAAATATTAAATATTCTAATTAAAAAACTAAATATCTGAAACAAAAATAATAGACATGCTTATAATTTTTTATCAATGATTGTAATAATACTGAATCAATTGTATATTAACAACGAATACACCTTCAAATATTTATTTTATTTCACATAGATATCATGAACAAATGGAAGATGAAAGACCAACTATTGTCAATCCAAAATCCAAACTAACAAAAACATACATTAAATAACATCAACTGATTTGTCTTATATTCCTTCTACATATCTACTTTTACACGTTCATTGCTTGGTGTTTTGCAGTTCAAATAGTAGCGTCAGATGATCCGCCTGGACTAGAAGATATTCTACAAAACCTTAGAAATTTGTAAATTTATCTTCCCAAAAAAGTTTTTGATATGGATGAACCGATTCAAATACTGTCATCCTTCAATTGTATTCACCTTTCATAATATCATTCAACATTTCAGTTATCATAACTAATCTCTCCAAATGACACAAATATCTGTTCATATTCTACTTTTTGCATTTAGTTGTTTCTATATAAGCATAACAAGATACCATCTAAAACATCGCAGAACCACAAATACTTTTCTACTTTTTAAGTTTTTATTCGCAAATGGCCAAAGAATCAAGAGCAACCACAAACGGTAATGAACATTAAACAATATCTTTATACATACTGTCAGATATCAATTATAATATCTGTCTGTTATTTACAGATGCAAAAACGTCATCAAACATACAAAATGGGATCAAAGAGATTCTCATAAATGTTAACACTAGCTTAGACAGTATTGACGAGGCTAGCGAAAAGATAAGAGATATTATCCATTATTTGTTAGAAATAATGAGTTCAACCATGGGAATCATCTCTGATTTAACACACCGTGAATTAGTGATTGCTGATAAGGAAGTTCATTGCCAAAAACAGCAGCAAAAAAATAGAAAACAAATATGACACAGTTTTTTTTTTTTTTTTCTATTATCAATGGAATGAATAATATAAAAAAGTATTTACATTTACAAACGTCATAAAAAAAAATAACTCACCATTAATATATTACATACAACTGTTCAATATACTGATTCTGACTATATGTATTTCAATTTTTTAATTTGAAATCTTTCACATTCCTCTTTTAATTTGATAAATTACTAATTATTCACGTGTGTGTTATTGATTTCTGTGAATATTAAGAGATTGTTATAATAAGGGTTATTTACATTCATTCAATTAATGTATTCAATACAGATCTTACACATTCCTCATTTAATTTGAGATCTTTCACATTCCTCTTTTAATTTGATAAATCACTAATGATTCACGTGTGTGTTATTGATTTCCATGAATATTAAGAGATTGCTATAATAGGGATTATTCACATGCATTCAATTAATGTATTCGATACAGATCTTTCACATTCCTCTTTTAATTTGAGATCTTTCATATTCTTTTTTTAATTTGAAAAATTACTAATGCTTGTTCGTAATCGTTCATACGAAACGTCATTCAATGACATCTAAAGCTATATAAGAATACACAATTCAACAATCCATACACCTTCAAATATTCATTTCATTTCACACAGGTATCGTTAACAAATGAAAGACGAAATACCAACTATTGTCAATCCACAATCCAAACAAACAGAAGCATGCGGTAAATAACATCAACTGATTACTTGTATATTCCTTCTACATATCTACTTTTACATGTCCATTGTTTATTTTTTAGCGGTTCAAGCAACAACATCAGATATAGTTCTATTTTTTACCTTGAGGAATACCAAGTTCCTTTTCTTTGGCAATAATCAGGGATTCACGTTTCCGTAAATCGAATATTACATGCATGGTTGAGCCTGTTATTTCTAACAAAGCATTCATAATATCTATGTTCATCACTCTGGTAGTGTTGAGTTTGTCCAGCGTGGCTTTAAGGTTTTGTAGAATACCTTCCAGTTCAGGCGGACCAGCTGATGTTGAAACAATTTCTCTCGCCATTACAATTGTTATTACAATCTTCAATTTATAACTAAACTTTATGTATTTTTCTTATGAATAAAAGATAACAACTCTCTCATTATGCCAGAAGATACTCTACTTTAATCCAACCGAAAACTTTCTAAAGAAAAATTTTTTAAACATAAAAAACCCCTATAAAATAATAATAATAATAACAAAATATTTTATTATAATTAATATTTGACATTTTTTTTTATAAAATAATAATCGTTTACGATTTCTTAAAATATAAAAATTCAATAATAAAATAAAAATAATTTAATAAATAAACCTGCGCAATGCTTAGACGTGCTATCTAGTATATATATAAGGTTGAAGTAGACTATTTCTCACGAGTGCTGAGAATTGGTATATGATTGTGACGTAGGATTCCAGCAGGAATGCAGGATACACATAAGATTTCACGTAGGATTTCAGAAAATCTACATAATTGTTACAAGTGTCTATATATTATTGGTTTAGTTTGATTCATTGTTTTTGTTGAATTGAATGTCAACGGATACAGATGTGGATGTCCCTTCTTCACATCAACCCAAACGTTTCACATTCACACTTTAAAATTTAAATATCTTTTGATACGTTTCACATTCACATTAAATATTTTTTGATTCACTGTTTTTGTTGAATTGAATGTCAGGGGGTACAGAGGTGGGTGTCCCTTCACATTAACTGTTTTTGTTGTGTGTACAATGGTCATCGAAAAATTCCATCAACAACCTCTATCTCCAGATCATACCCAGCACCTGTTTGAAGAAATGCCTCACTCAGCATCCCAGCCCAACACAGAACACATTGCACGCGTAGGGGATGGTTTCCGATGCCACCACACCAAAACCCCTCTATCGACCCCTTTTGTGTTTTTTTGTTTGATTTTTTTATTTTGTTTTTTGGTCTTGTATTTTGTTTTCTGTTTTATTATTATTATTGAAATGGCGCGATTTTAGGTGGTGGATGGCTGCTATGCCAGATTTGAGGTGTGGTGATTGTGATATTTGGAATGGAGTGACAATTGAGAAATGGGTTTGTTTCATCTGCTCAGCCTATATTGAGACAAGCCAATTTTAAGGGTGCGAAGTTACTAGGTGCTAGCTTCTTTGATGCAGATTTAACAGGTAATTTTTTTCTCAAGGAATAAAGTAATGAGGTTTTATTTTATATTTGATCTTTGCATTATTCCTCATCATTAAGCAATAAATTAAATTCACATGAGTATGGCAGCAGGGGCTTTTTTCGGGGGCTAATTTAGTAGTGTCTATTATCTATTGCTTTTCCTTTTTCGTTTATCAGGGGCTGATCTTTTGGATGCTGATCTAAGAGGGGCAGACTTTTCATTGGCAAATGTGACAAAGGTGAATTTATCTATTTATGCTTTTCAGATCATTCTTAAAAAAGTTTTCCTAGTTTCCTTCTGATGTATATGCACATGTTTGAAAGGAGCAGTTTTTGTGGTGACTGGTAAATTTGTTTGATATTAATTATATTAATATGAGTACTGTTTATTGAATTCTGTCGACATCTCTGATCTCTCCAAGTTTCCTGCGTTTGGGGAGCAGTGATACAACTAAGTAGCACTACGTAATATTGAAGCTTTGTGTGACGTTGTGATGCATGTCCTTGCTAATTTCTGCAGGTAAATCTAAGCAATGCTAACTTGGATGGGGCACTTGCTACTGGGAACACATCTTTCGAGGGATCAAACATAACTGGTGCTGTAGAAACCATTTGTGGTGATTTTTTTTTTTTTTTTTTTTTTTAAATAGCTAAACTGTTAATAGTTCATTACATTTCTTGAGTCAATCAGTTAGGGGTCATACTCATTGTATTCAACATAGCCAATTTGCCCAATCTACTAAATTATGTTACTTTAGCAATAAGCTGCTGGCAAAGAGAACAACATGTTTAAGAAAACAATATGAACAAATAATATATAAAGAGTGAAACTCACTAGCAAAGATGTTATGTCAGTGAACCTATAAAACATTTGGCTCTTTCAATTCAATTATTGTGACTGATTTACTTATATAAGATACCGTGGAGTTTTTTAATGAGATATTGTTTTGTTTGAAACATTGACCTGCATATTTTGATTCATAAACAGACAACTTCTTTGAATAAATTAATTAAATATCAACTGAAAGGACAATATTGTTTTTCATGTCCTATGTATTGTGAACAGGAATTTTACATTTTATATTTCTCCAGCAAAGGACATTTTATTTGGGTAGGGATTGTAAACGCGCTCGATCACCCACTTACACACGTTCACACACATTTGTTAAAGTTGAGGTTAGCTGCTTTAAAGTTTGCTTCTCCATTTTTATATTGTAATTGAGCTTCTATCTGTTCCAGAAAACAACCGGTAATATATTGTTTGTCTTGGACAATTTAAATATGAGCTTTGTTAAATCCTGCAGTGGTTTGTTTTGGCTGATTTCCTTTGTCCGGTAACAGACTCTACAGATGTGCCTTTGAGAGATGATCAACGGGAATACCTTTGCAAAGTTGCAGATGGGTAAGTCGACTTTAATTTGTTGCACTATTTTCTTCTAATGTGTAATCATTTCTGATTACGGCAACCCTTCGTGATTAGCGTAAATTCAACAACCGGCAATGCAACACGTGACACATTACTTTGCAACTAGAATTTCTTTACTCATGTACAGAGAGGGAGCATCGTTCCTATCGATTAATCTGTAACTGCAGCAATTTGAGAGGCTTATGTTAAACTTGAACAACAAACCCGAGCATGTAATAAATTGTATTGTGTTTTGAACTATTAGACTGTCCTATGTATCAAATGGAAACTTCTTGGTTATTTGAAGAAATTTGTTCTAGGTTTTGGATCGATGGATTTTTCAAATGTAATTATAAATGCATTCAATGCCAGCGGTTCTATTTGATTTAAATTTCATTCTATTGGAATATACTAATGTGCATTTTGACATATTGGAATAATACTGAAGCTGCCAATTTTGTTGCTTCTCAGCCTTTGAAATGAAAACAAAATTCATGGAAGAGAAGATAATCAGATATTCATGGATTTATACTATATTAGTTGTTTGTGTTTTATGAGGATCTGAACGATTTTGCTTGAGACCACCGACATAACCATGTTCAAGTGATTTGATTGGAGAAGATGGATGTGATTGACTTGGAAGATGAGACAATAGATGCTGAGATACTCAATTCTATGGCAGTGACAAATGAACACTTCAAGACTGCTCTTGGAACAAGCAACCCATCGGCTCTACGAGAAACTGTGAGTATTATCAAGATATTTCTACTTTGACCTTCTTTACTGTTAGGATATTTTTTTCATTGGTTGAGTATCTGATCAGCAATTTTGTGATAAATGTGCTGGAAGTGCCCAATGTCAGTTGGGAGGATATTGGAGGACTTGAGAATGTTAAGAGGGAACTCCAAGAGGTAAATGCAATTGCTTCATGGATGACATACTTGCCATGCTTTCATTCATTTCTGTACAGTCAAAATTTTGATGTATTCATATTTGGGTATAAAGACTGTTCAATATCCAGTGGAGCATGCATCCTGAGAAATTTGGAATGTCACCCTCAAAGGGAGTGCTCTTCTTAGTTTTATCAGTTGATAACTCTCACTGGCTGGGTGAAGCATTTTTAATCCTTAGATTGCTGCAAATTGCAGTATTGAAGTTTGAGTTTACTATACAATAATCATTTTTCTGAAAAATAAAATTTTGCAATATGATCTGCCTATTTGTTCATTTTCAAGTTTGTATTGCTCGATTATGCCTGTGTTGTTTTTCTCTGAATGAAGAAATAAATGTGAACATTATGTGCTATAAAATGTATTGTGTTCTCTGTACTGCATGATGATAATCATTGTTTGTAATTATCCCTTGGTATTGAGTGAGTTTACAGATTCTTGACAAGTAATGAATTTGTTCCCTCAACAAGAAGAACAGGATTATACCAAGGCACATTCAGATGGCCGTTAGGAACGATGAGGAGTTGAGCAAGTTGATGGGGTCTGTGACAATTGCAAATAGAGGTGTTTTGCCGAATATTCATCAGAATCCGCTGCTCAAGAAAACTGGGACTGAAAAGAGAGAGATCAGATCTGTCTCTTAGGAGTTTTGCGGATTATAAGAATAGTTTAGGTTGATTTTGTTGATAAGCATGTAGTGAAAGTTGATTTCATTCTTCAATGTGTAAATCTCATATTGGACTAATGAGTAAAAATCTCATCTTTCTTTTCAATTTTTATAATTATTGGGATTGTTTAGAATGTTAAGGTTCAATATAAAATGAACTTCAATATAAAAAAGTATATATTTAAAATACAAAAAAACCAATAATAATACAAGAAAATATAATAAATATACCCGTGCAATGAGCCGGTGTGCCATCTAGTATAAATAAATTTGTGATGATAAAAATTATTTAAAAATGAGATTTCTTAAGTTTATTAATGAAGTGGCATTACATCCGCCCTCCAATTAATCAAAGGAAAATCCATTAAAAAAGATTGCATCAATTGGATACATTGTTAGTATTTTCCAATGGCTGCATCCCAAATTCTCCACAACCGTTTATAAAATCAGTGAAACCATTACCTCCACCACCATCACCACCGCCCCGGCCGCCCCCACCACCAAATCTAAACCCGTGAACAGAAGCATTTTCCACTGTAGCCCCTCTTATTCTAACCATTACCATAATCTTTTTATTTGTGAAGGTGGTGGAAACTCATATGGTGATTGTGAAGGTGGTGCTTTTGATGATGATGATGAGGAGGAGGAGGATTATACTCCACTCCATTGTTGCACTCTGAAGTTTTTGCCATCTCATGAGGCCATACTCTAGACGGGTTTCTTGTTAGCTCCAGCAACGAATCCCTCACATGATCAGCTTGAAGCATCTCGCTATCTATTTTCTGCCACCAAGAAGTTCATAATAATTAGAACAATTAAAATGAAAAGAGTAGTTTTAATTTTGCTATCTAAAAACGTGTTCATAATTTTGCCGTTACTTTGAACACATTAGAACCAAGTCCCCTAAAATGGGTTATATTTGCATTTGTCACTTCCAAACCCAATGAATTCAAAGCTTCCATCAATTTTACAAATCCAGCAGGCTTATGTTCGCAAAACACTTTGATAAGACTCCCTGCACTGATAACAAACAATAGCCAAACAGTACAATATAACAAAATATATCCACTTCAAATAAGCCTCAACCAAGTATATTAATGGAGAAAAACAAAGAACAATCAAAACAAGTGATAAACTCAACAGATAGATCCCAGCAATTCGAGGAGCTGGGGACCTCCCACAATGACCTATTTGATCTCTATCTCCCTTCACCCAAAACTGACCCTTTATTTATACTACCTTCATGACTCCTAACAACTTTGATTCCCTTTCATACGTGGCCGTAACCAACTTCTCTAACAACCAACAATAAGGCACTTCACACTCTTTACCCTTTCTGACCCTATTGTCCCTTATGCCGTTGTGTTTGTAAACGTGCTTAATGGGGGGTCTATCAATACCACCCCCCCCCCCCCCAACCCCAAACCCCCCAAAAAAAGCGCCCCTTCATCAAGAGGTGGAAATGAGGGAATTGCAGTTTAATTACGTCATAAGCCTCCCACGATGCTTCAAATGGAGCCAAATCTTTCCACTTTATAAGGACTTCCCGAGAATCATTGAGTAAAGTGCAGACAGACAACACCTCTTCTGGTTGAACCAGGAGTTCCATATCTTCGGAGAGGCAGCGTGGCAGGGGCTGGATGGGTACTGATGTGTGCAGGCTGCGTTTCAGTTGAGATATGTGAAAAACTGGATGAATTTTGGCCATAGGAGGCAGCTCTAATCTGTAAGCAACTTGTCCAATCTTTTCTAGTATAGGGAAAGGGTCGTAAAACCTGGGGCTAAGTTTTTCATTTAGTTTCTTGGCCAAGGATTTGAAACGGTATGGTTGGAGCTTCAAATACACTTGGTCTCCTGGTTGAAAACTGATATCCCTACGGTGCAAGTCAGTTGTTCCCTTCATCTGTGCTTGGGCTACCGCCAGGTTATGCTTTAGTTCATCCAGAATTGAATTGCGGGTGGCCATTTGCTGGTTGACTTCTTCCACAGTGGAAGGGCAATCGGTAAATCTAAGAAGAGTTGGGGGATCTCTCCCGTATAAGGCTTTGAATGGAGTCATTTTAATGGAGCTGTGGAATGTGGTATTGTACCAAAATTCTACCTATGACAACCATCTATGCCACTGCCGTGGCTGTGAACTACAGAAACAACGCAAATAAGTTTCCAAACAGCGGTTGACGACCTCCGTCTGACCATCGGTTTGAGGATGGTATGCAGAACTAAACTTTAGTGAAGTACCAGCTGCTTTGAACAATTCCTGCCAAAATTGGCTAAGAAAGATTCTGTCTCGGTCTGAAACTATGGACTTGGGAAATCCGTGGAGCTTCACAATCTCAGAAATAAAAATGGCAGCAACATCCTTAGCGCTGTAAGGATGGCACAGTGAGAGAAAATGTCCATATTTAGTAAATCGGTTTGAGAGCAGAATATTTGTTTAATTGGCAAATGGAACACCTCTGTACAAACTCTTGAACATCCTTTTTAATACCATCCCAAAACACAACATTTATCAACTTCTTATAGGTTCTGAAAAAGCCTGAATGCTGCACCCCCCCCCCCCCCCCCCCCCCCCCCCCCCCCCCCCCCCCCCCGCGGACTGCTGTGAAATTCATCTAGAAGCCTAGGAATGAACTTCAAACATTTGGGTAAAACCAAGCTGTTTTTGCAGATGAGGCAGCCACAGCGAAAACCATAATAGGGACGGCTGGATTGGTCAAAAAGAAGGTCTTGGATGATTGCTTGGAGCTTCGGATCTTGCTGTGCTTCAGCTGCTAACTCATCCGATTCTGAAAACTATACTACTGAAATGGCCTCTAACTCAGCTTCTAATTCAACCCTCTCTCCCCGTCTAGACAAGGCATCAGCCACCTGGTTTGAGCTTCCAGGTTGGTAATGGATTTCGAAGGAAAATCCTAAGAGCTTGGAAATCCACTTTTGCTGTTCGGGTGTCTTAACACGCTGATCTGTCAGAAACTGTAGGCTGCATTGATCCGATTTAATGATAAATTTGTGCCCACTAAGGTAATGGCTCCACTTGTGGACAACAAACACGATTGCCATCAGCTCCCTCTCGTATGCAGATTTTTGTCGGGACTGTTTGGAAAAAACCTGGCTGATGAAGGCAATGGGCTGCTGATTTTGGACCAGGACAGCCCCAATTCCTTGTCCAGATGTGTCTGAGTGAACCTCAAAAGGAAGGGTGAAATCTGGAATTGCCAGCACCGAAACCGAAGTCATTGCCATTTTAAGAGTCTCAAAGGCCCGTTGTGCTTGATCATCCCATGCAAAGGAGTCCTTTCGTAGCAGCTGTGTCAACGGCTATGCGATTAAACCATAATTCTTCATGAAAGGGCGATAGTAACCAATTAACCCTAAAAACCCCCTTAGTCCTTTGATTGTACATGGGACCGGCCAAGTCAGCATTGAATCAATTTTTTGTGGGTTAGCCTCTACCCTTTTTGCTGAAATCAAGTGACCCAAATACTCCAATCTCCATCGGCCAAACATACACTTCTTGTAATTTATTACCAGCTCATGCTTGGTAAGAATTTGGAAGGTATGTCGCATGTGGACCAGATGAGTCTACAAATCAGGGCTGTAAATCAAGATATCATCAAAAAACACAAGTATAAATTTCCTCAAGACTGGTTTAAATATAGTATTCATTAAGGCTTAAAAAGTTGAGGGGGCATTGGTCAATCCGAATGGCATGACCAGGAACTCGTAATGCCCTTCATGGGTCCTGAAAGTTGTCTTAGGAACATCCTCTTCTCTAACCCTAATCTAGTGGTAACCTGACTTTAGGTCCAATTTCGTGAAAATGGCTGCCCCTGAAAGTTCATCCAGCAGTTCATCAATGGAAGGGATTGGAAATTTGTCAAGGATAGTAATGTTATTCAGGGCCTTATAGTCCACACAAAATTGCCAACTCCCATCTTTCTTCTTAACTAACAACACGGGACTAGCAAAGGGACTGGTACTGGGTTGTATAATCCTTACCACCAGCATCTCTCCCACCAATCTTTCGATTTCATTTTTTTGGTTATAGGAATATTTGTATGGGCGAATGTTAGGAGGTTTTGCATGGGCTTCTAATACTATAGTGTGGTCAGTGGGTCTTTTGGGAGGTAGCTGAGTAGGCTATTCAAACAGATGATTAAATTTGTGTACCACTGTTGCTACTACCGGATCCATGTTCTCTTCTGTTTCTTCTTCCTTGACACCAATGGAACAAAATTCAACCATATATCCCGCATCCTCCTGCTGTAGGGATTTCAACATTGCCTTTAAGGACACAACCTTCTTGACTAATGACGGATCCCCTTGTAAAACCACCTTCTTTCCCTCACTGATAAAACCCTTTGTCATATTTCTCCAATTCGCACAAACATCCCCCAATGTACTGAGCCACGAAACCCTCAATACTATCTCTGCCCCTCCTAACTCAAATGGGAAATAGTCCTGGCACACTTCAATCCCTTGTATCCTCAATTTAACTCTTCTACAAATTCCCTCCCCTCTGACAGTAAAACCCATTCCCTACCATCACTCCAAAGGATTTTCCTTTTCCACTGCTAAACCTAATTTTCGCACCAAGTCATGCGAAATGAAATTGTGGGAAGCCCCATTGTCCACTAACACAATCACCTCTGTACTTCCAATCTCCCCTTTCAATTTTAAGGTTTTATCGGTGGTTACCCCAACTATTGAGTGCATAAACAGGGCAAGAGGATTACCTTCATCGTCATTTTCTGAGGTAGGTTCAGGCGTGCTTTTGTCGTTTGCGGTCACGTCGTCGTCAGTCACTAGCAAAATCTGGATTGATTTGCTCCTACAACGGTGGTTTGGTCCGAACTTTTCATCACAGCAGAAGCAAAGACCCTTTTCTCGTTTCTGTTGCATTTCAACGTCAGTCATTCATTGGAAAGTGTTCCTACGAAAGCTCGATGCTGTCGTCTCACCGAATCGATTCCTGTCATGAAATCGATTTAGGGAAATTGGTTGCCCTAACTCTGTACGTGTCGGGTTGGA